AAAATCAAACCACTTTGTATAGAATGTGAGTCATGAGTCATGACTATATGTTAAAAATGCATTGAAAATAATGTTGGACTATATCAGTGGAAGACATCTAAATAACATAGATAGGCTATAATTTTTGTCAGTGTGGGTTAGTAAAATGGTCATCCAGTCACAAAAATAACTTCAACCTTACTTATTTAAGTTATTTTGATTATAACACAATTTAGCGGACGGAGTAAAAAAACGTGTGTTTGATAAAAAAATTATTAGGCTGATAAGCTAAAATAGGAGTTGTCAAACAGACTCTTAGAGCCCGTTTGGTAGCACGAAAATTGGCTGATTCTGCTGAAATTTATTAAGTTCTAGCTGAAGTGTCTGCATTGGCTAATCCTGCTTATTTATGAAACATTATTTTTAAAATATATTTTATTAATAAAATAAAGAAAAAATTATAAAATAGCTAAAATGGTCATCTACATTAACTTCAGCCAATACAGCCAGAAAAGTAACTTCAATCTTATTTTTTCTGTTTATTACACAATTCAACGCGTGAAAACGAAAGTTACGTGTTTGGTAAAAAAGTTGTTCGATAAGCCAAAAAACAATGTTGCTAAATGACCTCTTAATGTTTAGGTGTAGAATGTGAAATTCGAATGAAGCTTAATTCAAATTTGCTATACGTGTTTGCTTATATTTTTGAATTGAACGACTTTACTCCTAACATTTAGTAATTTGATATGAAATATTAATTGTAAATCTGAATTAATTAATACTCTATTTTGCAATAGTTTTAGAAGAGTTATCTATTTTTGCTAAAATTTGAGAAGTCAGATCCCTTTTAGACGTTTTCCATATAAAAGAATTCTAAACATAAATCAAGCGCAATCTTAAAAATAATTGTTATCTTAGAGATTTAAAAATAATTCCAATTGGCAAGTTTACTCGGAATTACTTCTTGAAAAATCTATTATAAACGTTAGTTGTAATGAAAATAGGTTAAAATGAAAATAAATTCAAGTAATGGAACAATTTTCCCAAGCTGGTAGGTTAAAATAGAAATAATTTGAATTACTACCTACGGCCCAATTTGATGATACCGGTTCTTATTCATTTGGTCAACACAAATCACTTATAATTTCTTACTTTATATATCAAACTTTTATCAAAATTGATTTTTTCTTTTGCGACTTTGTAAATTTTTTTATGTAGTTTCTGAATATGTAAAATTCTATTTACAACAAATGATTTGAGTACAGACCGGGATCTGTTTATTTTCTCATCGGTTAAGTATCATAAACCGCAACGGGACCATCAAATTGAGACGGAGAGAGTAATAGTGACATTCAAAATTTAAAGTATTTTTTTAAAAGAATTAAAAGTTATCGTAGTGCATATGAATTAAATATTGTATGTAGAGTCCCAAAAGTTTGGTGTTCCACTTCAAACAAATTAATCAATTGCTACCAAAGAGCCAACCACGGGTGACTATGCTTACCTTTCGGTAAGAAGTTACGGAATTATTACGTAATAATTAATTGTTAAATATTATTGTATTGTTTAACCAATCAGAAGATCACACATAAGCATTCTATAACTCAGGTTTACTATATAAAACAATAGACTAGTAGGTTATAGTTTCAAAACTTTGAAGGTTTCGTGCATAACCGTCCCACCATCTAGCCATTTCGTATATGTTTGTAAACGTTACAGGTCTTTTTTGAAGTGTACCTTATTTCTTTCTCAACGAGGACATAAGACAAATGAAATTAAAAATCATCACATCACCCGATCAACTACCTTCCTCTATTCTTTTTGGCTGTTTTACTACCTCTTTCTTTCTTAATTTATATATTAATTGATATTTGATATTATGATTGTCATTCCGTATTAATTATTTGGAAAAAAATATTACTACTTATTATTAGTAAAGAAATTATCCAAAACAGGACTAAAACATTGACTAAACTCCAAAATAGGAGTATAAGTTTATTTATTTCTAAATAGGACTCCAGATTACATTTTTGCCCTTCCCCTAATTAAATCTGACATCACCGCCTCGGACATATTAGAAATTAGCAATCTGGGGACTGAGAGGTGTTCTGTCCTTCTTCATCAGAGACCTCAGGTCATGATCAACAAGTTCTCCAGCGGTTTTCTAGTCTTCCATTGCCGCCGCCGCTCATTGGTACCACAACCGTATCCGCCGCTCGTTGGTACAGTAGCCATAGCAACCGCCAGTCTTCTCCATCTCCGCCAGCCTTCTACAATTTTACCCATGGAATCAAGTAATTTCTCCTTCTCTTCTCTTCTCTTTTCTTCTCCTCTCTTCTCCTCTCTTCTCCTCTCTTCTCCTCTCTTTCGTTTCCTTGTTGGCCGTACTCTGTTTTTATCTCTTGGGATTCAATTAGATCTGATAAATTGGATGGCAATTAGATAAGGTTGGAGGGGATGGGAATTGAACAAGGTTAGAGTGTTCGAACTTTTTTTATTGGATTTTTAATTTATTTTTTTGAAATAATTATATAAATATGACCAAAATAAAGATGATTTACAAAAAAAATGATTATTTACTAGAGTAGTAATGAAATCATAGTAATTCATGTTCAAGTTTTGAGTTTAAGTTACTACATCACCACATTGTTGAAATGAATAGTCATATTTATGTAAATATGTTTTTATTTTAGTAATATTCTTGTAAAAAACCCTTATTTTTTATTTTAGAATTTGAAAATTTCATAACTATTTAAAATTGAATTGAAAAATGTCACAAATACATTAAAATGAAAATGTCACCTTGAAGTTAAAATATAAGAAATGTCATGTTTTTGCCCGTTTGACAAAATAGTGTAATTTAAAAATAATGCTACTTTTATGGTATTGCATTTGTTACGATGACAGTTTTGACCTGCTAAAAAATGACATGTATTAACAAATGTAATTGTCATCTTTCTATTCCAAAATGCTAACATTATTTTAACGTCACTGTAAACAAGATATCATTTTTTACAAATTGGCATGTTTCTTTTTTATATGACATTTAAGGATAGGTTGAATGTAAAAAAATCACATACTTTTGTTTTTGTTCAGGTAGAAACATGACATTCTCAATATGACATTTTCAAATATTGTAATGACATAAAAGTGACAAAAGATCTGCCCTCCAGTGACTCTGTGCAGACCTCCCTGAGGAATGCCACTTGATATGAGAGAATGTCATGTTTTTATATGAAACTTACATCATCATGGAATTTTCAAAAATAATATTGTTAAAAATGACAAAATTTGGCAATCCAGTTAAAACATGTCATTAAAATATTGACATCTTGATATAATATAATGACATAAAAGTGACATTTTTTCTAATAACAAGCATTTATGGCCTTTTCATAAACATATCTAATCAAAAACCAAATAAGTAATAAAAACCCAAACCCAAATTTTTCTGATCATGACCGTTTGTTGAATTGTCGTTTTTATCTCAAGTTGTCATATCCAAAGCAGTATTTTGATTTATAATCTTAAATAGTAAATGAATTACCAATAAACAAATTGAAAGATGAAGAAACAAGGATCTGGAAAAAGAAGATGAGAAGAACATGAGGAAGAAGAACGAGGAAGAAGAAAGAAGGAGAAGGAAGAAGAATGGAAAGAGGAAAAAGAGATCACCTGGACGGTGCGCTGCAATGGATTTTCTACCGGACCAGTCGATCAGATGTATGCAGCAATATTATCGCCAATTCTAGTCTGCCGGTTAAGTACTGGATCGATAATCATTAAGGGTATTTTTGTCCAATTAGGTAATTTGTAGTCATAGTTTTGCAATTTAAACATAGGAGTCCTATTTTTGCATTTGTTCCAAGTTTTAGTCCTATTAGGTTAATTCTCTCTTATTAGTACTAACAAAGAGGATACTAACAGAGGGTATTACCTTACTCTTTAATTAGTCATCGAAATAGGCAAGTGTTTGTGTCCATCAGAGTTTTCTTATCCTTCTTGCAGGTTTTGTTGTGTAAATGATATTGAGATTATTTGATTTGGTTCACAAGTAAAACACTAGCTAGAGTCCAGCTCCTTTTCATTCTATATGTGTTGGTGCCATAAGCATGATGTAGAACTTTAGTAATTATCATAATGAATGACATTTTATGTAACATGTAACGAGAGATAATTCTCTATCTCTTACAAAATTTGTATTTGGAGTGCCAGAGTGTACGAGTGGCATTCCATTTTTTGGAGTCGTCTTTAGCCATAGTACTATTGATAGAGTATATGAGCTCAAACCGACGGTCCACATACTCAATGAAACACAACGGCCCAAACCCGGCCCGCTACACCACCTGGACTTCTCAACCAAATTTAGTCCAGAATGCGGATATACAACTATTGTCCATACTAGTCAACATATATCACCTCAAACATGGCACCTCGGAGGTCAGGCTTGTCCAGAGATCCCAAACAAAATCGCTCAGGGGTAGGAAGAACACCAGATCTGAAGTGCACCTCGGTCAACATCTATAACCTCGGTCAACCTGGCCAGAAGTCGTAAAGAATGACATGTGTCACACTGTTTCACATGGCTCTCGCCCATAGAACAGTCAACACGTATATGTTCATCTAATGCACCGCTCATTTTTTATTTGTAAATGGTTCAAACCTCATTTAATACAAAACACTTTTTCTCTCGCTCTACTCTTAGCTCTCTCTTCTCTCTACTATATCACTACGGTTTACCGAGAAACCAGAGCCGGCCATGGGGGCATGCAGCCTAGACAATTGTCTAGGGCCCCCAAATTAATAGGGGCCTCCAGTTTTCTATGTAAGTCTATTATTATTATGTATATATTTAATTTTAATTGTTAATTTATGATAAAATATCTACTAAACTTAAAAAGTAAAACACAAAAAACTTTAAAACCTGCGGAGCGGCCTTCCGGCCCAAAGACTTCACGATACATTCCCCTATTTGGAGACGAGACTTGGAGCCTTCAATTTCCTCTGCCGACTCTTGCAATTCTTCCGACGCAGACGGCAGACCGCAGTGGCCGCTGCCCGCTGGCCACAGCCACAGACATCCGCAGTCCGCAACTCCGCACAAGGCCTCCGGGTAAGGTACGTAATGCTTGTAGAGTTGTAGCTTATGCTCTTCGTGATTGTCTTTCTAAAAGCTTCAAATGACCATTGACCAAATCCTTCAATTATTGATGATTTGATGTAGTTGACTTATCTCTTAATTTGATTGTCATGATTTTTTTAATTTTTAGTATTGGGTCGGTTGGGGCAGTTGGGCAATAGGTTATTAAAATATTAATGTACTACTGTAGCATATATGCAGGGTAATGCAGGGGCAGTAGGGCCTAGTTATTACATATTGGTAATTTGGTTGGATAGTAATTTATTGTATTGTTTTTATAATTGTATTTTTATTATTGAATATTGAAAGTTAGAGAAACTTATCTAGTTAGGAATTGTATGAAATTGTAGGTTTTTGATGAAGGGAAAACGAAAATACGACTCAGGATGTACAAAGAGAAAGAACAAATTAAGAAAGGACATGGTCATAAAATCCTTTGCCGGTTCTATGGATCGGTACATATTATCAAAACCTTGTCCCTCAAATATTGTTCAGAATGAGGCTACAAATGTTGAGGTCGAAGTAAATGAGGGTGAGGATCTAAGTTGTCAGAATAATGACACAATTGTAGGTGATACAAATGAAAATGTCAATGATAGTATTGAGAATGAACATGCTAGGGCCGAGAATGTAAATGGTGAGAGAGAGATGCTAGATGATCACTCTACTTTGTTGTACTCGGATGATTTATTTGACCCAGGAAATTGGAAAGCACCTATTTCTCAAAAACAAATAGACTTGTTGGTCGAGAGGGGTCCCATAAGAATAAAAGGGGTTGAGTATCCTATTGATAAGAAACGCAGTTTCAATGACAAATACTATACTCGTTGTTTGGGAAACATGGAGAGATATGATAGGCCATGGTTAGTTTATTCTTTGTCAAAAAATAAAGTCTTTTGTTTTTGTTGTGTGCTATTCAAGAAAGGTGCGATGCAAAGCCCTTTAACCACTGCAGGTCAAGGGTATAATGATTGGCACAACTTAAATACTAGACTTGTAGAGCATGAATTGAGCATGGACCATATCCATAATTTACAAGCATGGAGGGAGGCAGAAGTAAGATTGAAAAAAAGGGTGACAATAGATGCTTCCCGAGAACAAGCTATCAACAAAGAAAAAGAGTACTGGAGAGCTGTTTTGAAGAGAATTGTTGTTGTTGTCAAGACTCTTGCTACTTGTAATATAGCTTTTCGTGGAGATAATGAAAGGATTGTAGATGAAAATAATGGGAATTTCTTGAAAATTATTAATATGATTGCTGAATTTGATCCGATAATGGAAGAACATCTCAGGCGTATTCGGAAGAAGGAGATCCGAAATCATTATCTTGGGCATAACATTCAAAATGAGATGATCCAACTTTTGTCAAATGAAGTGAAAAAGAAGATCCTCCAAGTAGTGAAAAGTGCAAAGTATTTCTCTGTTATCCTAGATTGCACACCTGATGTTAGTCACGAGGAGCAAATGACACTCGTCCTAAGATGTGTTAATGTGTCTACGAGTCCAATCCGAGTGGAGGAGTTTTTTATTACATTTGTGAAAGTTGTTGAGACAACTGGAGAAGCTCTTTTTCATGAACTTAAAAGACTCCTTGAGACTCATGAGCTTGATTTTAACAATGTAAGAGGACAAGGTTACGACAATGGCTCCAACATGAAGGGAGATAACAAGGGTGTACAAGGTAGAGTCTTACGGGAATATCCTAGAGCATTTTATACTCCATGCGGTTGTCATTCTCTCAACCTTGCTCTTTGTGATATGGCCATGAGTTGCCCGCAAGCAAAGACATTTTTTGGTGTTGTTCAACGAATCTATAAATTATTTTCGGGTATGTCTATGTTGTTTATATACTTTTTTCATTCATTAATTAATTTTTATTTATTGCATACTTATTTTTTATTATTAATTTTTTTATCATTTCAGGTTCAACAAAACGATGGGAGGTTTTCAAGACTTATGTTAAAGACCGTGATGGAAACGGTCTTACTCTTAAGTCATGGTCAGATACGCGTTGGGAAAGTCGTGTTGCCAGTGTTAAAGCAATCAGGTTCCAAGCACCACAAATTAAACAAGCATTGGAGCACTTAACCAAATTTAGCAATGACCCTAGCACGGTTAGTGATGCCAAGTCTATATCTGACTATGAAATGAACTTTGATTTTCTTGTTGCTTTGGTCATATGGTATGAGATATTGAATAAGGTCAATAAAGTTAGTAAAGTCTTGCAACAAAGAGATATGAATATGAGTTCGGCCATTAGTCTCTTGAAAGGTTTGATTGCATTTTTCCAAGAATATAGAGAAGATGGATTCGAAAAGGCCAAAGCTGAAGCTGAGAAGATTGCCATTGAGTTAGATATTGAACCTCAATTTCGTGAGGCACGGGTCCGTACTAAAAAAAGGTTCTTTGATGAAAATGCAAATGATGAACCAACAAGGTCACAAGAGAATGCATTTAAAGTCACTTACTTCTTAGTTCTTGTTGATATTGCTCATTCTTCACTCTCTAGTAGATTTGAGCAGTTTCATAAATATGATGATACTTTTGGATTTTTGTACAATTTGACTAAGTTGAAGGGGATGAGTGATGAGGACTTGATGTGTTCTTGTGTCAACCTTGAAGAGTTTCTCAAGCATGGAGATGATGAGGACATTGATGCTAGGGAGTTACTCTCAGAACTACAGATGCTAAGGGTTTCAATCCAGAATGCACAAAAAAAGTGATTGAAGTGCTGGAGTATATAAAAGATATGCATATTTGTTTTCCGAATGCTTGGATTGCCTATAGAATTTTATTGACTATTCCAGTGACTGTTGCAGCTGCAGAGCGAAGTTTTTCTAAATTGAAGCTGATAAAAAATTATCTCCGGTCAACCATGTCTGAGGATAGACTATCTGGTTTGGCTATTCTATCGATTGAAAAAAAAAATGTTAGCTACTCTTGATTGCAGTGATGTTCTTACGAATTTCGCTCTTCAAAAAGCTAGAAGAATAGGCTATTAGTTTTTATCCATGTGTTTTTGATCAATTTTGGATCTTTTGCTTTCGAAGAATATACTGTTTACGTTAATATTATATGATGCATTTCATATATAATTCACTTTTATTTCATTTGGTATTTTATTTTTTTATATCGTTACATTGAATTGAATATATAAAAAAATGTCTATGTGACCGTCTAGGGCCTCATAATTGCTCTAGACGGCCCTGCGAGAAACCATGGTTAATCTTGGAGGATGAGCCATGAACATAATATACGGAGTATACAAATAATGTACATACGTACGTATAGTAATTAATAAATTAAATTATGTTCTATTAACAATTACAAACATAATAATAGAAACGCTATCAAGGGACAACTTACTCAATTACACTGATTTTTCTCTTTCGAGTGGATTAATATCAATTTATATTTGAATATAAACGTGACGAATTGGAATAATAGATCTCATCTTATATTCTTATGGATGATTCTATAAACGTGATGAATTGGGAGGGGATATCTCATCCTATTGTTATTATAGGTCTAAAGACAAGACGCTTTATAAATTGGGAAAGAGGAGTAGTAGTTTTGGACATAACTTTTAGACGTGTAACATAACTGTGTGACTGTGAGAGATAGGGATATATACCTGGCTTATTGGTTACTACGTATCATTCTAACACTTGTGTGATATATTCTGAGAAGATAAAATAAATAAAGGCCATATTTTCTCTTCTTTGGAAAGAGTTAATAAATAAAATAAATAAGGGCACACATGCATGATTGTTGAGAACAATGGCTGCAGACCTGTCAACCACGGACACGTGCCCTTCTTGACTCTTGTCTCATGGAAATTGAAGGCCACGATTTTAATAAACCTCGCCCATTTCCTCCCAATTTTCACCCACTACATACTACCTCCTCGTGATTTTAAGACATATATCTTCCCGCTTAAGAGTAGATGAGATTAAGAATAGTGATAGAAATTATAAATTATTGAGAGTATGATGGGAAGATAATGAAATCGTGTTCTGGAATGAAGGATAAATCCAAAAAAGTAGTTGTAATAGTGTATTATTTTCAAAAATTATTGAGGATATGATGAGAAGATTTAGAAATGATAAGATATAATTGTTACGACCAAAAAAAGGAAAGTGGGAAGATATAAATGTTACGGGGGAATTATATGATATTCCTAATTATTATTTATTGTTATTACCATGCGCTAAAAAAATCCTACTAGCATGTGATCATATTTAACATATTAAGATGTTTTTACTTGGAATGTAATTCGTCCCAGACCAGACCAGACTTGAATAGTTATAAAAAATACAAAGAAATCAGACCAGACCAGCAAATTACAGTCCAAGTAAAAACGTCCTTAATACTAAAGATAAATGATTTCGTGTGTATATAATACTAAAAAATAGTGTTTAAGAATGTATGTATGTGTGTGTATTTGTGTGTTCACATATACATATTAAAAACAACAATAGTAATAATTATATTAAATACTGAGTAATAGTTAATGTACTAATAAAAAATACTCTATTTTATATATATAAAAACTCTATAAAATATTAAGTTGAATTCATATGTTTCGAATATTTTTTATTTGTATCCTTAATAGTTATTTCACATCTTAATAGTTAATCAGAACAACTAAATTACCAAACATTTTTCTTCAATCCGTCAATGATAATGCCTGGTCAAAAGTAAACGACTAACACAATCTGTCGTAATACAATCGACCATCAGTTAACAAAACAATCAGTGGTGATTGTCAAATACCCTCGTGATGTCACAAAAGGAGTTAAATGTTTGAAAAAGAAAAGAAACGGTTTAAGAGTACTACAAAAAAAATTCGCTATAGGCAAGGAATTTGGCTCGGAATCCTTCACAATATTCCCAGACTAACGGGTTTGGCACGGTTTTGGCTCGGAAAAATTTCCCAGCCATCCAGCTCGAGCCAAATGGATTGGCACGGAATTTAACCATAGTAAGCCAACTATGATTCTATATATGAATGAGGACAATTATATGGCTTGAAGAGTTTTGCCAACGGAAGCAATTAAGCAGTGGGTTTAACAAACGTGAAAAACTTTGATAGCAAATTGTCGAATTGGTATATGTGTAATAATGGCTGTTACTACAAAAATAGGCCTAAAGTTTCTCCTAAATCAAAAAATTGGACTGATATATAGGGATGGGGTTCGGTACGGTGTACTGAATATTTTATCACATATCTTTACCATATTGTACATTTTCGGTATGCTAAAATTCATACCGCTATTATATTGAAATTTCGGTATACCTTGTTGAGTTGTTCCGGATATCAAATTTCAGTACGGTAATAGTACAACATCGATAAATCATCATAATTAATATAAGAAATTATAATATGCTAAATGAAATATAGAAAATTAGTGTTTAGTAGTGATATACTAAAATCATTAATGAAATCAATGGTGGAATACTAATGATAACCTATTGATGTTCTGTTCTATTTTGAACAAAATTATTATAATAATGTTTAGATATTTCAACACATGATAGATGAAGATAACAACATATTGTCCTAAAATTATTTAATCAACATAGATTTAAATAAAATAACATTGATCTCCAACAAAAAGTATAATAATTCAAGAAATATGGATATAAAGTCATCTATTCTTGAATTGATGTTGTGTGTCTAGTCATTTTTATAATTTTAAAGAAATTATTGGCTAGAATTTACAGTATGACGGTATACCGTATATTTTCAAAATATATACCGATACCATACCGAAGTATTCAGTATGGTACCATATCGCACCAAAAGTGTCGATATACCCAGCATTTCGGTAAATTCTGTATTTTTAGATACACTAAGTGCCGTATATCGCAATTTTGGTATATTTTCTCACCCCTAGTAATATATATGTTCCAACTTCATATTCTACCCCTGGACCGGTGTAGATTATGTTCAAATATCATCATATTGGTAAAAGTCAAAAAAAAAATCTGTCAAATTTTCCATTAAGTCCTATCTGGATTGACGTCTATATGGGCAAGATATCTGTCTGGATTAAGGGATTTATATATGACGTTGTTTATTTTGTATGTTGAATAAACAATCTGAATTGTGTAAAATAATCATTTTAAGTATTTTTCTTAGATTACAATGTTAATGAAAAACTTATTTATTACTCTGTAATATAAATCTATTATTACCCAATCAATGTGAAAAAATTGACGGAAAAAAGTCTTAAAAGACATCTTAATGGCAATGACTACTATTTTTAGCTTAATGACTAAATCAGTTTTTTGACTGAATGATTAAGTCATGTTTTTAATTAAGTCATAAGTAAACATGACTTAATGATTGAATTATTAAGTTGTCATTGTCATTTAGTCGAAAGTAAAAACATGACTTAATGATTGAATTATTATGTTGTCATTGTCATTAGTCTATTAATACAATAATTGAACATAAATTACTTGGACTAGGAATAACTTAAAATAATGAACATAATTATGTGAGAGAGATTATTGGACAGAATTAATTGATAGAATAATCCGAGATCGAAATATGAAACCGGATTATTTTGAGATTATTTATGAAATTAGAGTTAATTAGTTGCTACAGGACACACAAAAGATCAGATTATTTCGGGATGATGGTTGAAGGTAATTCGGAGGGGATGTGATTATTTCCAAAACATTTATGTGGAAAATTTTAAAAGGTTAGAGTCACAAATAATCAGATTATTTTAAAATCATGAATGTGAATACTCTTGAGAGGAACTACTATACGAAATCATTTTTGAATATACAAAGTTAGAGTTGAAAAATAAAAGATTAATGGGAAGAAGAAGGCGCCACAGTAGGAAAGCATTTTTAAGTGTGCGGAGAGCATTGATTGGAGTTAGATAATTGAATGTATACGTGTCATCTCCATGTATCCAATCGCCAAATGCTCTTCTACCAGACACCCCCTTCTCTCTCTCCCTCAAAGACAAAACTCAGAGGGGAAGAAGCTCAGGGCCAACAGAAAAAGAATCTGGAGGGAACATAAGCAATTTCGGGTTTCTAATGTTGGTATGCATCTGTCAACCGCTTATTTTTTTCATTCCTGGTTACAGTAATTTCAAATCCTGCTTCTATATATCTATAAATAATCAGGAGAAATTGTATGTATCTGGCTGGCTCCCTTCACTTTCCCTACAATTCATTTTAAACTGTAACTCAAGTTCTTTGTGTGTTATGCTTTAAATTTATTTAAAGATTAAAACTTTTTTTAGGTTGAGAAGTATTGCCTCAGATCCATGAAACCCATGTTCCATTTGGCAAAAAGGAACCATCATTTTAGGGTTTTCCATGTGATTCTTGAGGTTTGGGATGTCTGGACTGTTTTGTTTCTTATATATGTTAATCATTAATGATCTCGTTTTCTTTCCCCTGATTGAAATCTTGTGGATAAGCTTTGACTTTGTCTCTGTCTTTGTCTTCTTCTTTTTTCACTTTTTCTGTCTATATAAGGGTTGGTGGTGGAGATGTGAGTTTGTGTATGCTTGGTTTGATTCTCATCTGTAAGGGAATTGACGTTTTCCTAGTTCAAGGTATATAGTATAGAAAAGCAATAACTCAAGCTCTGCTTTCTCTTCTGTTCTGACAGCTTAGATCCATATATGCCGTCTCCAGATAACCTGATTTTTTTCTTTTGTGTATTTTGAGATTTTATTTTCACCATTAAAAATTGGGGGAATTGATGGAAGAGATGTCTCCAGCAGTTGCCGTGACAGTCCGATTAAGTAACACAATTGTTGATAGCCCCACAAACCATGTGGAAATAACTAGACTCAAAATTGTGACTGATGGAAGTAGTTGCAATGGTGTGAAAGTTGATGTTAATGGTAGAGATTCCTTAGTAGTAGGAGGAGGATCGTCGGCTGATAATCACTCGCCCTCTGTCTTGAAACTTGGAAAAATCTTATCTGTTCAAGAGACAAATGAAATTAATGGTGAGGAGTTGACATCAGATATGAGATTGCCTATTGCTGTTGAGTTTGAAGGCATTGATAATGGCGAAATTGTTGCTAAGGTAATCAGCTTGGAGGAACAGGACATTTCTTCGAGTCCC